GTCCTTAGCACAATGCCTAGCACGTAGTAAGCACTATATAACTGTTGACTCTATTATTAATCTCTGGGGAAGAGGGTAATTAAAGGAGGAGAGGGAAGAGGGGAGAATCTGGTTAGGCTACCCCTGGTTCTCACCGGTCTCCTATGAGCCAAGTAGTTTTCAATACTTCTCACAAAATCCTAATTTCTTTGTAGTAGGAGAGAATTGGGAAAGTAGGGAACCAAATTTAGATTTAGAGTATTTTATCGTTAGATCTTCTCACCCCTAGTTGTGTGAATTATGGGCCTGATGTATGGGAGCCACCATTTGTGGAGAGATGGTAGGTGTATATAGAATTTATCTGCTGGCTATTCCCCATACACATTCCATAGCCTACCTAGAGATTTGCACAACCTTCCCCCCAGGGCTGGAATGTATTCCCCTTCTAGCCGCCTCCTAGTAGAATCCCTGGCTTTCTCCCCAGTACTCAAGTATTACCATGGACAGGAAAATAACAGCTGATCCCTGCCCTCCCAGTGCAAGTACTCCCTCCCTTGGAAATGATTTCCCATTTGTGTGTGTGTGTATTTCTGTGTTCATGTAGTTGTTACCCCCAATAGATTGTATTTTCCTTCAGAGCAAGAATTTGTTTTTTACTTTGTGTCCTAGGCACCTACCATAATGCCTGGCAGATAATGGGTACTTAATAAATGCACGTTGAATGAATGAATGAATCAATGAATGAATGAATCAATGAATGAATGAATCAATGAATGAATGAATGAAAAACCATGTCCTTCCAACAGGAGGCCTCCTCCATGACATGAGGGCAGTGTAGGAGTGCTATGGAGGCAGTGGATATTCTAGTTTTATTGCTGATGTTGTCCTTATTGTTCTTATTTAGAGGAATCTAGGAAGTGCCTTGCATAGAGCATTGTGCCTGGAGTCAGGAAGACCTGAGTTCAAATCTGGCCTCGGACACTTACTAGCTGTGTGACCCTGGGGCAAGTCACTTAACCTCTGTTTGCCTCAGTTTCCTCATCTGTAAAATGGGGATAACAATGCCAATCTCATAGAGTTTTTGTAAGGATCAAATGAAATAATATTTATAAAGCATTTAGCACAGTACCTGGCACATAGTACGCACTATATGAATGCTAGTTATTGTTAACTGTTATTGCTATCAATACAGCTATCCAAAGATGGAGTGGGCTCCCTCAAGAAAATTACTGAAGATGTCCTAGAAGACACTGGAAAAACATTTGTCAGAATATTTTAAGGGGCAGCTAGGTGGCACAGTGGATAGAGCACTGGCCCTGAAGTCAGGAGTTCAAATGCGGCCTCAGACCAAACACTTGACACTTATTAGCTGTGTGACGTTAGGCAAGTCACTTAACCCCAATTGCCTTAAAAAAAATATATTTTAGAGGCTAACCTCTCCACTTGAGCCTGTCCCCTTCCTTCTCCTCTCCTCTTTAATCTCTTCTTCTTTCCTTTCCTACTGCTTACAAATATATTCACATCTTCCTTATCTTCTAAAAAATATTCTCTTGACCACACCACCCCCTCCACCTATCTTCCTGTATCTCTCCTTTTCCCTACCAAATTCCTAGAATCATGCACTACCCTTGGAAGAGATCTCCAAAGTCATCTAATCCAAGCTGTACCTCACCAAGAACTCCCTCTGCAACATTGCCGCTCAAAGTCATCCAACCTCTCCTTGTAGACTTCTAGCCAAGAGAAAACCATTACCTCCCAAGACAACCTATTTGCTTTTGGATAGCTGTGATCATTAAGAAGTTATTTCCCCCCACCTAGTTCAGCCTAAATCTGCCTCTGCAGAATCACTACTCAGGCTCCTGCAATCTGCTCTCTTTGTCTCTTTACTCTCTCTCCCTTCATGAACTCATTTGCTCCAATGGGTTTAATTTTCACCTCTGTGCAGATGGCTTCCAAATCTATAGTTTGGGAAAGAGCGTGGATATGTACATAGCCCTCCCCCGAGCTCCAGTCCAACATTTCCTACTTCCCGTTATACACAGCCATCAGGATATCCCTTGGGCACTTGAAACTCAATAATCCAAAACTGAACGTAGGATCTTTCCTCCAAACTTGCCCCTCCTTCAATGTTCCCATTTTCCTTCAACTCGACTGCCATCTTGTCACTCACCCAGGCTTGAAACCTCGAAGTCCAAGTCGTCTTAGATACTTTTGTGCTCTCCCACCCCCTAAATCTAATCATTTGAGAAATCTTATCACTTCAACCTCTTGTAACTTGTCTCAAATCTCTCCCCCTTCCATTCTCCCTACTTACCTGGTGACTGCCTTAGTTCAGTTCCTCCTTGTCTCTCACCTGGATTGATCAATCAACATTTATTAAGCACCTGCTGTGTGTGCTTGTTGTTAAACAGATCCTTAAGTGGTGTTCCTGTCTCCAAACTTACCCACTTTCTAATTTATCTTTCCCACAGCTGCCAAAATAATCTTATTAGCAAGGAAGCATGTCATGATGCAGAAACCACTGGAGTTGTCCGGAGAGACCTGCATTCCAAGCACTTATGACAAGCGTGACCCCAGAGCAAGTAGCTTAACTTTTCATATGCCGCTTGGGGAAAAGCTAGCTTGTAGGCCAGCTAGAGTGCGGAATACTGGTGAGGGGAATAATATGAAATGAGGCTGCGTTTAAGGTAGGGGGATTCAGACTGGGGAGGACCTGAAATCGTAGACAAAGGATTTATGTTTTATCTACAGACAGTGGGGAGCCACTGAAGATTTATTGGAGGGGGGGGGTGTTACCTGGTCAAACCTATGCATTAGTAATGTAAGTAACAATATAGCACTTTAAGGATTACATGACGTTTCACAAAAACAACCCTGTGAGGTAGGCAGCATTCCTCCCAGCTCAAAGTATTCTCAAATTTTCCTAGAGGACTTTCACTGGAATTTCTCTTTCACAGCCATCACTTCTAAATTATACTTATTTGAATAAATGTTGCCTATCCCTCCCCCACCCCCACAGCAGAAAAGAAACTTCGTTTTAATTTGTGTAGTCCCAATGCCCAGTGGTGCCTAGTGAACAATAAAAGCAGAGAACGCAGAAGCCACGAAGAGGGCTTCAAGATCATCTGGGGAGAGGAGTACGCAGAATCATCCTGTTAGACTATAGAGTGAATGGAGGCGAATGGGAGGAGATTGTTTCAATAAGCCTGTGGGGTCAGTAGTGTGAATACTATTTTAAGACATTTAACAGATAGGGAAACTGAGACTTGGAGAGGTGAAGTGGCTTGCCATAGGCTACACAGTGGATAAGTCAAAGGCTGGACTTGACCCAGGTCTCTTGACTTGCCATTGTGAATAAATGCCTACCAAGTACCTTGAGTAAGCAGCAAGCATGCAAGGAAGAGGGGGCAGGCACCCAGACAGCTGGATGTGGCCTCAGCTCAGGAGGAGTAGGACTAGATTGTAAAGGACTGTAAAGAATTATAGACCTTTAGATTATAAGCCGGGTGAGGGCAGGAACTGTCATCTTATTCATTTAGATCACTGGTGCTTAGCACAGTGCCTAGTGTGTTGTAGGCACTTAATAAATGTTTTATTGGATTGATTTATTGGACTAGTGACCAGAGTAGGGCTCATTTAGCCAGTCGTGGATGGCTTAGATTTGATATATTGGAAAGGGATTTGGAGTAAGAATTTCTGGATTCAAATTCCACTTCTCATTCTGTGGCTATGATAAGTCTCTTCCCCTCTTTAAATCTCAATTTTTTCATTTGTAAAATGGGAGTAATATTTTCATAACCTACCTCACCTGGTTATTCTGAGGAAAGTACTTTGTAAACCTTAAAGCACAGTATAAATGTGAATAGTTATTACTTTTATTTTTAGTATTATTAAACTCAAGACATGAATACAATAGTGAGGTGATAGGTCAAGAATTCTTGCCCTTCCCCTCTCTTCCACTCAGGACAGATTCAGGTCTACACTTTTCTGCCTAGGTCCCAACCATAGTGTAGTAGAAAAAGACCTGAATCTGAAGTCAGGGGACCTGAGTTTGAATCTAGACGCTGCTACCAGCTGGTTATATGACCTTGGGTATGTTGCTTTGATTCTCTATGACTCATTTTTCTCTTCTGTAAAATGAGGGGGTCTGGTTGTAATTCCTGACCCATGGAATTACATCCTCACTGGGGAGGGGGGAAGCAAAGAATGGATCCCCGTGAGAGAGGTTGTGTGGGGATATGTCCAGCATGGACATGGGCCTTACCCAAAGACAGGAAGAATGGGGGAAAAGGAGGGTGGGAGGAGGAATAAGGAATGAGGCGTTTATAGCTTGTCACAACTATTCCAGAATGTTCACTTAAAGGGAATTTACTTTCAGGCCAAGTTGGTCCCACCTTTCCACCTTCACTCAGTTTCCCATTTGCTGTGGCTTCCCAGTGCATTCTGGGACTTGGCAGTATCTAGAACTTTCCTCAGTCCCCCAGATGGCCACCCACAGAGCCCTCCTCCCTCCCCACCCCCTTCCCCCTTTGCAGGGTTTCCTGCTGGGGATGGGATCTGGGCCATGGAGCTAAAGCTGTGCTGAGCATTGGAGGCGGGTGTGGCTGGTGTGTCCCACTCTCCAAACCCATCAGAGTCTGTCCCAAAAGCAGGGCTCCGGGGATCCAGGATTTGTGTATCCATCAGGCTTGGGGGAGGAAAGGCTGGACAGGGAGACCTTTGCGGCTCCCCCCTGGGCGGGTTTCAGCTGCGAGGGTCAAGAAGTCTTGGCTGGAGCTGGGGAAGCTTTCACTCCAGAAAATGAGCTGTATGGTGTGAACTCCTCTTGGGATCATTGGGTCTGTCATCACAAGCTTAGGGGACACTCAGTGATGGAACAAGGAGGGAATCCCCTGGCAGTCCCACCAACAGAGCAATGGCCTCCACCGCTCCCCTAGCCCTTCCCCAGCAGGCAGGTTCACAAACTGTTAGCACGGGGAGGGACTTTGAAAATAATCTCATTCAATCCCCTCCTTTTACAGAGGAGGAAACTGAGGCCCAGAGAGGAGGAGCGACCTGATGAAAGCGGGAGAGCTGGTCCTCAAACCCAGGTCACGAGACTCCCGCCCTGCCACTCTTCTCACTCCGTTGGCAAGCTTGGGCCCAGGCCCCCCACGGGACAGGCGGTGACCACCTGCAACACAAATCCCATGTGGCGACAAAAGGATGGCGGCTCTTTCCTGCGGGAGCTGGGGGCCCAAAGTGGTGGAGAGGGGATGGAAGGAGCAGAAGCACAAGATTTGGAGCTGGCCGACCTGATTCTACTCATTCCCCACACTGATGCTCTGCATAGCCTAAGGCAAGTCACATGACCTCCTGGGTCTCAGTTTCCTCATTTGTAAAATTCATTGGTTGAACCAGATGCCCTCTAAGCTCCCTTCCAGCTCTCCAGCCATGAGCCTGCGATTTAAGCAGTTCTTCCACTTCTAACTTTCTAAATTCTATGTTCCCAGACTGTCTACCCTCCCATCCCCTCCAACTCTAACAGTTGGATCTCTGGGGATCCTCCCCAGGCACTGAAAGTGGCCTCTGACTGCTTTTCCTTTGCTTCATGTACTTCCCCCCACACCCCAGTCCCCAACCACTATTTGTGGTATTTTACTTAAAATTCAAAAAAAAAAAAAAGTAGAGCAAGCTTAAGTTGAGCTCACCATCTATGGTTGAAAAAAATTTTTTTTTTGAAGTTTCAGACACTTGTTTGGAGCCAGGCCAATTCTGTAACTTGAGCTTCTGCCGTCCATTATGTGGCTTGGAGGCGAACATCTTGCTTGCTTGCCTCTCTGTGGAAGAAGCATAAATTCCCTCCCTCTCCTGAAGCGATTGTAAGCAGATCTTTCAAGACCTCTGGAAAAAAAAAATCCAATATGGCAGTTCTGGGACTTGGGGAAGGGGAAAGGAGAAACTGTGGGCCTCAGAGACAGAAAAATTTGGCAGCAACTAATTTTGTTCCCCCATCAGACCCAAAAAAACCTTGGCAACCCTCCCTCCCGTCATTGCAGAGGAGGGGGACTATGGGTGTGGAATATTGCATATACTGTCAGCGTGGTTGATGCATTGGTTGAATTTGCTGAACTGTATTTTTTTTTTAATTTTTTAATCTTTGTTTCAAGGGAGCACTTACTGCAGAGGAGAGGGTATATTTGGAAATGAATATGATATGAAAACAAAAAGCATCAATTAAAAACTCATCTAACCTTAAAAACCATAACAATAGCCCTGGCGTTCTCTAAGCAAGCTTTCGAGAATGGAGACAAGAGCTAATGTTCGTGAGTTCATAGCCAAATGGGAGATTCTGGGATTCTGGCATGCCAGTGTCAACTCCCTTGGGAGAGAAGTGGTAGAGTTGGTGTAAGAGACAGAGGATTACTTCTTCAGTACTCCCAAAGATCAAAGGAGGGAAGGAGGGAGGGAGGGAGGGAGGGAGGAGAGAAGGAAGGAAGGAAGGAAGGAAGGAAGGAAGGAAGGAAGGAAGGAAGGAAGGAAGGAAGGAAGGAAGGAAGGAAGGAGGGAAGGGAGAAAGGGAAGGGAGGGAGGGAGGAAGAGAAGTGAGGAAGGAGGGAGGGAAGAAAGAAGAAAGGAAGACAAAGGGGAGGGAAGTGGAGGAGAGGGAGGAAGAGAAGGGAAGAGGGAAGGAGGGAGGAAAATGTATTAAGTACATACTAGGTACCACACACTGTACTAAACATTGGGAATAAAATTATAAGCTAGAAGAAAGTCCCTGCTCTCAAGGAGCTTACACTCTAACGTGGGAAGGAAGCGCACAAAAGGGAGCTGAAAAGGGGGCAAGGATATGAGGGGAGTGGGAGTTTGAGGAGGGGGTGGAGATGAAGGCACCCAGTGCTTTTGGGGAATAGGTTTGAATAGAAGCCAGGAAGTGGTTCAGGAGGAGACTGAAAGCCAGGCTGGGGAGGTTCCAGCAGGAACTCACCAGTGGGAAAAGCGGGTAGGCCTGACAGAAGGATAGAGACCTAGAGTTGGAGTCAGAGGACCTAGAAATAAATCTCGGCTCTGCTAACCACTTTCCATGGGACTTGGGAGTGAATCATTTTCCTTCTTTAGGCCTCAGTTTCCCCATCAGCAAAATGAGGGGGCTGGACTCATTCTCTAAATCCTACAGTGCTCAGAGTTCCAAGAGCATTTCTGCAGGTAAAGCAAGGGGGGCTCAGAGACGCAAGTCGTCTTGTCCAAGGTTGTCCAGCAGCAAACGGTAGTGCCAAGTGTCAGACACAGATCTTTTGACTCTGAACCTAGGGCTGTTTCTTCTTACAGCACTGCCTCTCCACAGAGGGGCAAGTACATGTGTGGGCACAGGGTCAGCACATCTGGAATTCCTAGCCTTAGAAATGGTGCTATGGGAAAGGCAGTGTAGGCTTGTGGACAGAGCACTGAGCTCAGGGTCAGGAAGACCTGGGATTAGTTCCCACCTCAGGCCCATCTCAGTGAGATAATAAATGTGAAATGTTTTGCAAGCCTTGCAGCACTATGGATATCAGCTGTCATCATTATTATTACTAAATTCTCCTCATCTTTGTTCAATGGAGCTCAGATGGAAATGGTCCTGGTGCTGGTTACTACCTTGCTATTATTCTTTTATATTTAGTGCTTAGTGAACTTCTGAGCAGGTGGTTAAAATAATTGACTTATAGAATTGAATAAATAGATGGGATGCAGACTTATCTTCTGTAGTGATCATTAGTATTATATACTATTCAAACCCCTATCATGTAGGTCATTAGGCATAATGGGGAAGCCTCAGAAAATGTAGCATAAATGGAATTCTTTGGTTCCCTTCATCAGCTCATAAAGAGGGGGAGTGTGGTAAGGGGGAGACATCCTGAATTTGATGCGATAGGAGACTAAGGTTCCAGGCCCAAGTCTGGCATTTATCATCTGATCACCTATGGGCAAGTCACAACCTCATAGGTTTGGAGGAGGAAGAGCCAGAAGGGACTTTTGATGGGCAACACTCCCTGGGCATTACCGAGTTATTGTAGGGGGTCCTCAGGATCCATGTGGGCACCTAGTTGTGTTATTTTTCATCTTCATTTAACTCCAACAAAATACGTGGCATGACTCAGTGCCATGAATAAGCAAACCTACCTTTTGTAGACTGAAGAAAATGTCTTACATCTGTATTACTATTTTTCAAATATTCATGTATCCTATATTTAATCAAATACAAATCGATTTAAGAGCTTTGTGACTGCACAGTAGCTTTGACATATGTTGTGCATTTTCTCATTCAAAGGATATTAATAGCACAACTATGATGACATGGCAATCTGCAAAAAACATTTTTATACTAAAAGGGATTCTTATACTTAAAGAGGTTGGGACTCACTACTGTGATTCAACCCTCTAATTTTACAGATGAGTCTCAAAGAGATTAAATAATTTACTTGGGACAGGTAAGTGGCAGTGGTTAGAGTACCAGGGCCTGAAATCAGAAAGACCTGCATTCAAATCTGACCTCAGACACTTACTAGCCCTGTGACCCTGGAAAAGTCACTTAACCCTGTTTGCCTCAGTTTCCTCTTCTGCAAAATGAGCTGGAGAAGGAAATGTCAAACTGCTGCAGTATCTGGCCAAGACAACCCCAAATGAGGTCACAAAGAGTCAGACGCGACTGGAACAAATGAACAACAATTTACCCAAGGTCACACACAGGAAGTGTTAGAGCCAGGATTCAAATCCTGTTCTTCCAACTCTCAACCCAGTACTCTTTCTACTATACAACTGCCTCAGTTTCCTCATTTATAAAATGTGGATAATAATGCGTACCCCCCACAGAAACAAGAGTTATTATTATTGCTGCTCCTTATATGACCTCAGGCAAATCTTTTCCCTTTTCTGAGCCTCAGTTTTCTCCTCTGAAAAATGGGAAGAATAATCCTTGTACTATTTACAAGGTTATTGTGAGGAAAATGCTGTGCATGACTTAGAGCACTGTAGAAGTAGGAGTTCATATTCTTTAAGTTTACCTGGAATGTGGCATGTTAATAGATATTACAGGAGCCCTCTCATTCAGACTCAAACTCTCCAGGAAAATCCTCCTTCAGGGGATTTTTCAGGAACAAATTTTTCCTTGACGTGAAAGGCAAGACTCCTGTTGGGTATGTGCTTGCACTCTTGTACCTTCACACACACACACACACACACACACACACACACTGTGCTGCTTCCCACCATGACCCGACCTGACAGTGCAGTCTGTGTGAACCTTTGGCTTTGAGCCCCCCAGCCCCCTACCCCAGCCAAAGCTGCTGGCCACCTCCCAAAGAAAAAATATTTGGAATGGTCTTTGAATTAAATGAGATTAATCCTCGAGTCCCTGACATTCTCTTCAGGCATGTGTTTTTATAACCTCCCTTTCAAATGAGAACCATTTGTCCCACCAAACGTGAAGAACACCCTCGACCCCACTGCCGTGCAAGCCATCACCAGCACCCTATCGCGTATCAGGGACAGTGCAAGGAGGCAGGGCTTAGGGGAGGGTGGGAAGGAAGCCAGCATTAACCTGTCCCTTTGAGGCCTGGCCATTCCTCACCTCAGAACTTTCTGCTTTCCCTGCTTCCCTATCCCTAGGAAGCCCTCCCCATGGGACCATCTGCTGAGGGCCCGACTGGAAGAAGGACAGCAGACTCCAAAGCTTTCCTCCTTTCTTTGAAAGATTGCTTTGGATGGGGTCACTCAGTCAACAAACATTTATTGAACGCCTACTATGGGCCAGGCACTAGTTTAAGTGCTGAGGAAACAGATAAAAATTACAGTCCCTGGACTCAGGGAGCTTACATCCTATACATGTACATAGATAAGCATATGCAAAATAAATTCAAAAGTAAATTGAGGGGGGCAGGTGCTAACAATCGGGAAGGTAAGTATCAGGAAAGATCTCATGAAGCAGGTGGGTGCTTGGGATGAGCTTTACAGGAAACCAGGTACTCTGTGATATAGTGGTTAGGAAGGAGTGAATTTGAAGACAGCCCATGCAAAGGTGTGGCCCTTCTTCTGATCCAGAGCCACAAGTAGGGCACAGTGACTGGGGCATTGTCCAAGTGGCACCAGATTTTAAGGGCACTGACAAAATTTGAAGTCTAACTCAATTAGTACTAATTAAGACCTATGGTGTGCTAGCCTCATGAGGATATGAAGATAAAAACCAATCAGTCCGCAAGGAACTTCCAGCCTTCTTAGAGTAATTGCTAATTGCTTTTCCTCCCACCCACTCTCTATCTCCTGTTTCCATCCCTTTGCTTACATTATGAGCTCTTTGAGGGCAGGGAATGTGTTTTTTTACTTTCTTCCTGTCTGGCACTTAGGGCAATACTTGGTAGGTATTTGGTAAGTAATAAATGCTCATTGACTGCCATCCCTGGAGAGCTCTCCCTCCTCACCTCTACCTCTTGGCTTCCCCGGATTTCTGCAAGGCCCATCCCAAAGGCCATTTTCTGCATGAGGCCTTTCCCACTCTCCCTGCTCACTTCCACCCAAAGCTATCATGCCTTCCCTTCAAAGGCTACTTTATAACTGACTCCTATGTTTTGTATATGGGCTGTTATGTCCCCTGTTAGAATGTAAGCTCCCCGAGGGCAAGAACTCCTTCACTTTTGTTTTCCACTGTCTAGTGTCTGGCACAGAATAAAGCCTTGATAAATGCTTAATTGTTTGATTGACTGAGAGATGAAAGAACTGGTCAGATTTGACCACTGAACTATCATCAGCGATCCCTGAAGACTGTGAAGAAGAGAAGGACTCCAGACAGAACCGGAGAAGGGCAACTATTGTCTCAGTTTTCTAAAAAGGAAAGAGAGGAGGCTGAGAGCTGTAACAGGCCGGTGGGTTTGGTGTTAATTCTCTCCTCTTGCCCTGCTGCTCCCCACCCCCTTCCCGCCACACACGCGCACACACACACACACACACACACACACACACACACACACACACACACCCCTTCCCATGCAGTGTCCTGGGGTCTCTGGTGATACCCTGGCAACTTAGAGTCTGTTGTATTCCATTTGTTCAGGGAATGAATAACTCATGGTGCTTGTTGCAGGTGCCTAAACTCCTAGTTATGACTCTGCCCTAACCGCCCTTCCCAGGCCTCCTCCAGAGTCTAACTCATCCCTGGATTTGTAATTAGAGGGGGGCTTAGAGATCGTCCAGTAAAATCCCTTATCTCAGAGATGAGAAAACTGAACTCCAGAGAAGGTAAGTGACTGGGGCAGCTGGTGGTGCAGTGGATAGAGCACTGGCCTTGGAGTCAGGAGGACCTGAGTTCAAATGCAGCCTCAGACCAAACACTT